CGCGTCACGTCACCGCCCGGCAGAGGCCACCTCTGCAGCCCAGACACCCGGTCACCACGGGCTCAGGGGAAGGCGCCATCGGCAGCCGGCAGCCTGTACGGCCCATCACCAACTTAGAGAGGCATCACAGATATTTTTAAAAATATATATTTTATTGATTTTTTACAGAGAGGAAGGGAGAGGGAAAGAGAGTTAGAAACATCCATGAGAGAGAAACATCGATCAGCTGCCTCCTGCACACTCCCTACTGGGGATGTGCCCGCAGCCAAGGTACATGCCCTTAACCAGAATCGAACCCGGGACCCTTCAGTCCACAGGCCGACACGCTATCCACCGAGCCAAACCGGCTAGGGCCACAGATATTTTAAACTTGATTTCCACATTGCTCTCTCCTTACCTCTTGCCCTTCTAACCACCTGACACACCAAATGTCCACGAACACATAGCACAGATGCGCATGATCCATTCTAAATGAAATCCAAAGAGCCCGGCCGGCGTGGCTCAGTGGTTGAGCATCGACCTGTGAACCAGGAGGTCATGGTTCGATTCCCAGTCAAGGGCACATGTCCGGGTTGCAGGCTCCATCTCCTGTGTGGGGCGTGCAGGAGGCAGCCAATCCATGATCCTGGCGTGCAGGAGGCAGCCGATCAGTGATTCTCTCTCATCATCGATGTTTCTCTCTCTCCCTTTCTCTCTGAAATCAATAAAAATGTATTTTTTTAAAAAAAATCACTGGCCTAAGACTTCATAAGAGCAAAAAAATAAGGTCAGAGGGAAAGCAGCCAGAATGTTCTTCCTTTGAATGAATTTTAAACATTCAGAAGAGAAAGAATTAAAAAAAAAAAATCAGGGGTATTCGAACCCCTCGCGGTGCTTTGAACCTGGGAAGCACCGACAGCGTCTCCTGGTTGCTGAGATGACTAAGTAGCCATGTTGGTGGAGTTGCCTGGTTGGCACAGGCCCTTCGAATGGCAAACCCCGACTCGGGGGCAGATGTTAATCATTAACGGTGCCAGGCCTTCAAAGACACCGTGTGCGCCCGGCACACAGAGGCAGACGCACAGAGATCAGCCGCTCAGCCGCCAGGGAGGAGCCGGTATCTGCGGAGGCTGCGGTTTACTGAGTAACATGGGCCCGGCCAAGGGACCGGCCTTTCGGCCTTTAACGGACGCCTCCCACCCTGAGCAATCAGCGAAGGAGAAAGGGAGATAGCGCACGCACCCGGGCCGCCCTCCAGCCAGAGGACGCAGCTGGAGATCTCTGAGCAAGAGAGAAAGAAAAGAAAAAAGAAGATGGCACAGGCTTTCACTGTGAACCGAAGACTGCGGGACACCATCAAGGCCGTATTTCAGGCGGCACTGCGCACGTCTCATGAGAACAAGCAAAGGCACAGGGTTGGCACAGCTAAAAAGTGAGCTCAGCCCGGCCGGCGGGGCTCTGTGGTTGAGCATCAACCTATGAACCAGGAGGTCCCGGTTCGATTCCTGATCAGGGCACATGCCCGGGTTTCGGGCTCCATCCCGCGTGTGGGGCCTGCAGGAGGCAGCCCATCCATGATTCTCTCTCATCGTTGATGTTTCTATCTCTCTCCCCCTCTCCCTTCCTCTCTGAAATCAATAAAAAAATTTTTT